CCCCATATATATTCCACTAAAATAAAGTTCATTGATATTTTCTAAATAACTATGCATTTTTCATCTCCAATTCCTGAACATATTGTTTCTTATTTTATGTAAATGAGCATCTGTTGCTGAACAAGTATCAGCTGAATGACTAGATGAATTATTAACGGAAGGAATCGGTGACAGCTAGAGGTATACACGTCTTTTATTACTTCATGTTAAGAATTTTTAAATGAAAACGATTTACCCTGAAACAAAAAGCTCTCCTGATTCAATTTTCTCATGAGCAAATATTATAAGCTTAATAAATACTGGTTATATGCTTGGATGAAAGAATGAATAAATGAGTGGCTTTTTTTTTTACTCAATGATTCATATATCTCTGAGGTCTCAAGTTTCAAACAGAAAAACTAAAGCTATCTTCTAGTTTTATCATCTCAATTTCTCACTCTGTTAGGTTCAAGTACTTTTCACAGATCAGCTCTGTAACTTTTGCTTCCCGAAAGTCTTATGAAAAATAGTTTTAATAAAAAAATAATGTAACTTGACAATAAAAGCTGTCATCACTAGTACATAAAAATCCTAAGATCAGAAACTGTTTACTGAGTTTGCCATAAGTCAAGGCAGCATCTAGAATTCTCTAGAATAACTGTTCTTATCTCAAGGTACATAGTTCAAACCACAGGCTAATTGCACACCATTAACATTCTGCTTTCATTAATGCATAACCCCATCTATTCTGATGTATTGTGATACACTTTAATATTAAGAAAAATAAGGCACCAAGCCATCTAACAAAATGTACAGTTATGTTGAAGGAGCAAAATAATCCTACAACTTTTCTTTAAAAACTTGTGCAACTGTGAGAAAAGCATAAAATCAGAAGTCATTCCTTTTTAAAACACAGCAAAAATATTTGTAGGAATTTATTTCACACAGAACGAGAAGAATATGATTTAAATGTGCTAGTGGTTTTGAACTGATTAGAAAAAGAGAGAGAACTGATTTTTCAAAAGAAGTAACCGAAGTTAAAGAATTCCTTGGTAGAAGATTTCACTAATGTCACATTATATTACATTAGTTAATAAGTGACCAGAAATACAAAATTGATATGAATTTTAAAATACAACTTTAAAACATGAAAAAGACATGATGAATTTTATATTTTATCAATATATTTCTAATAAAAAGAGGAAGTGTCAGAACAGAAATGTGTTTCATATCCTGGCCAGAGAAATGTGCATTTACTTCTGCTAAACTAGGATTCAGATGGAAATTAAAATACCAGTTGCAACCACAGATGCATACATGTGATATCTTTCTCTATCCAATGCACCAAAAAGAAAACATTATTATTCTGAAGCAGACAACAGAAATATTAAACTGTAACTATTTCACTCAGGATTGAGTTTGACATTCCATCCATGGTCCGCGGGAGTTCCGCCATTACAAAGCTTGAATTTCAGGTCACACGTTTCTGTTTTAAATTTCTTAGCCTGGTCTAATGAAAGACTCCTAAATACCTACATGTCTCCCTGATTAGCTATCTTGGAAAACTAATTAAGTAATCAATAAACAGAACAAGTATAAGTCAATAGGACCTTTGATAAGCATGCGCGATCTTC